GTGTTTCGTAGTAAAAAATACGGTTTCTGCTATTCATAAACTTGCAGGTTTCGCCTGTCATTGGAACACTCTTTTTCCAATTTTTTCCCTGTGCCATTTTCAAAATAAACTTGGTCAAAACAAAATAAATGAACAGTAATATACAGTAGAGAAGCGATGCAATGAACTATCAGCAACGAGTGAGTGTATCCAATCATTTGACCGGACGCGTACACGCGATGTTTATTTGCGGGATTAAGCTAATTACAAATGTTATTGTTTTGACTCAGAGGGGCTTAGCTGAAGTGCACATTCCCGGGGTTTCAGTTAATTGTAAATTATTTTTTATTTTTTAAAAAGCCGTTTTTTTCTTGAAATAAAAACGTGATTTAATAAAAAAGCAAGGTCGTATGGCTGCCTATAGGTATAAGTCACCATTTAATGAAAGAAAAAAAATGAAGAAAAAAAATCACCACGAAAGTCTTCTACATCCTTAAGATGTCGCTAATTAGAATAGAGTATATTCTCACAGTATGATTATTGCCACTTTACCGAAATTAAGATTCAGTTAATTCATGCATTGAGTCAAATTCGCTAAAATGATATGTAGCTATTTCAAAGTGTTTTACAGTATTTTTTGTCGCTTCACCCTGGACATTTTTCTTTTAATTTTACCCCTCATTTAAATCTAGCGCTGTTTAGAGACTGTAAGCTGTGAGTATCAAATTAAAGACGATGTGTGTACGATATACTAAGTAACCTATTATTATCAAACGCTCACAGCTTTCTTTGTTCACATGATCCCGAAGGATTTGACTGAACTCGCGCTTGGTTCACATATACGTAACAGGCGGCGTGCTAATTAACATAAACGAGGTCATAAGATCGGTACATGTGACAGACCCTTTCCATATCCATCATCAGCCGACCGTGATCTCGGCCGTGATCAGCTGTTGTCCGATTTCGTTTCGAGCGACACGGGCGCATTTAAAACGGTGGATTCACCTTTGGCATACGTACTGCTTATAGATTCCAATACACTTACCGCTGTTTGCACTTTGATGAGGAGAGGACTGAGTATAACAGGAGTTAGTACCAGTACAATGCGTTTACGCTGATTCCATATAGTCCGGCCTGCAGCTCGAACGGAAGCCATGTTGTTCCGATTCTCTGTATATTCGTCTTATCAAGAGTCTGTCACATCGGTCGATTCTTCCTTACAGCCGGCGGTGAGAACACAGCCACTTCCCCCAACGCTAAAACATGTCTACCTAGAGTACCGGTTTTAATGCTGCGGCAGTAGCCGGGAGTACAGTAGCAAACACGAGGTCAAATGTTACTATGATTTCACGTGTGACGTCTAGTACCCAGGGTATAATTCCTCAGAGATTATCACGCTAATAAAAACTACCGTACCGTTATAATGATTTAGTGGTTATTTATAGTGGGTAACATAACTGACTTGTGATTCCAGTGGCGCTCCTCAGTACAGGCCTTCAGTGAAAAAGCATTTTCCAATCACCATGCATTATTACACACTCACACACCACGCCATCGCAAAAAAGGGACGGTTCAAATTCTATTGCGTGGGCGGGACAAGACCGGGGTACAAGGTAGAATGACGGTTAGCATGACTGTCATTTCGAGTTCAAGGGCAATTCATGCAAAATTCGACCCCCTAGGTTACTGGATTTCAATAGTTTGAAATTTTAATGGTTCTTAACACGTGGGTTCTTAATTTAATTCTTTCCACTTATGTTGACCTTAGTACATGTTTTATCCATTAGAGTAGTCATATTTGACCGTTGATGGCGCTAACTATCACTATTTTTCGATTTAAAAACATCTGTGTTTAACCACAATTAGTAACCGTGGCTTTACTTTCCGAGCTATAAAATTTTAGTTCATTAATTGGCAATTTTAATTTAATTAATTGGCATAATGTTTTTTTGACAAAATGCCTCGCGCCGAATATCAAGTGATTGTACAAACTTGTTATTTTATGTTTTTTTCTTTAAAGCAGCTGTATTATATGGTCAATCTTCATCTTAGTTTATCTGAAATTCATTAAAAATATGAATATATGAAATATCAAGGTATTTTTTAAACAAATCTGAGAGTAAAATCCTGGTTGCATATTATAGACGGTTTGAAGTACTAGAAGGAAACACGATTTTACTCGAGCTTGACAGGAACGAAATAATCCTTATTGTTTAGAAGCCTATATATCCTTATTTTGGCCTTTAAAGACACTTGCAACTAGAAATGGGACTGGGATATGTTATACGCTTACACGTGAAAAACTCAAGCTCCTCCTATACACAATTTTAGATCAAACGCAACACGACAGAGGTCACACGTGTTTGCTTGGTATATACGACTTTATTGTATTTTATGTCAAGATCTCAAATGAGATACGATAGCAATAAAGATTTACTTACTTACTTACGATTTAAATCATACAATCTGTCAGTTGTGATCTCAGTTGCTCTGGATCATTAAAGGTTGACAATAGTGGTAAACATTGTAGCAGTTTACGTTTTTCTTTGTTACCTCCAATTCAGCAGCCAGTGAACAACCTCTGAAATAACTCGTACACACTAGATCCTACAATAGAGGCACATTGCCAGTAAATACCTCTCTTCTTTTTAAGGTAAGGTCAAATTGTTTGGATTTAGAAGGGAATAAATTAAATCACAGAGTGTTCATATTGTTTCGTGGGTCCCCGGGTGTTGTGGTAATGAACAAAACAATATGAAGGCAACCTGGCTGGGCCTTACGTGACGTAAGCAACGCGTACTATACATTGTTTACACGTTAATTAGACGTGCGTCCCGTGACGACTGTGACGCTTCAACGCTTTTTCACGCAAATATTGATATTTCTGGCAGTGGCGGCGGCACAGGGGGCGATCGCTCCCTCGAAAAAGATGTTAGGGAGGGCGTCGCCCCTTCAAAATCGAAATCCTTTGTGTCAGCAACATTTGCCCCTCAAAATGCAGGAAATAGCGTTTCAGAGGGTCAAGATTTAAAAGGTGTAAAATGTAATCAGCTATTTTATTCGTTCGTAATTTGCACAAAGATATTATTTTTTGTAAGCGTATAAAGCATTTTCCTTCTATTAAGGTCGTGCCTTTGGCGCGAGGTTGGTGAGGAGATCTCACCCCTCCATGTAACATTTCGTGCCGCCGCCTCTGTCTTGTCACCATGCGTGTCAGTTAAAATGTGCGTGTCAAGGCTTTTTAAAATGAATTTTCGAGCGCGCTTTGATTTTGAGAACAAATTGGCCGAAAAGTTATTTCTTTGCTTTAAAAGATGAGAGTACTGTAGGAATGGTCAAAGTTTATCTGTCCTAGTACTGATTCCAAAAAGACTAAAAGGATAAAAGACTGACTGTTTCATGCTCAACTGATAGTAAAACCTAATTTCCTGTTCACTTTTTACATCTTTTTATTTAATAAAGTTTTTTTTTTTTTGCAATTATTCACTAACACTGAAATGATTTGTGCCGATTTTCATAATTAATTTTATGATATTTAAATAAATAATAACGTCCATGCACAGTCCAACAATTAAATTATTTTGAAATTTAGAAAAAGTTTAAGGAATATATACTCTGATAGAGTAATTCGGCCGCTCATTAAAAGTATATAAATAAATAAATTAAATAAATAAATCACACATCATGTTAATATCAATACACCTTACATTCTCAAATATTCGTTATCTGTACAGCCTGTATGGACAGTATTTCTAATACAGTTGTTAACTTAAATAGTTAAATGCAAACACTAGCTGTATGTGAATTCTGGCTGCGAGTGCAAACAGGGATGATGACTTAAATATGAGTTACAAATTAGTCATAGAGCGATGGATGTTCATGAACATGTGTTAGAAGGTCAAGTACGGGAATAATAAATGATGACCATGAAATGACGATGTAGATTACGCACATCCCCCGCCTTAGTCAGGTTATTAAATAGTTATGCGCTGTGTGTATCCATTTCTTCCTGATTATCATATGTAAAAAATGGTAGATGGTCCTTCAACATATCCAGACTTCTCGGACCCTCGCTTGCCCCACTTACGTGTCGTGTTAGATTTGTCAACAACTAACCAATAAAACATTTATTGTGTGTTGTAAATGTTGAATTGTATTGTATAGCGAAAGTACAATCACCTGTTGAATGATATACATCTCCGACCATTGGCACAAAGCCTTCATTATAATTACCTTTGTCGACAGACTTAACGCAAAGGCTCGTGGGTAGACGCTTGTTTGTATACAATGACACGCTATGGCCATCTGGGGGAAAGGGCAGGTGACGACACCCCAGCTTGGTTCACTGATTCGAAACTTTCCTCGAGTGAAATGTTGTTGGTTGGTTCTGTTGGTCCAGTTATTCACAATTATAATAACCGAATATTGAAAACCACACATATACATCCACCCTTGCCCTGTTGTTTAAACAATATTGAATGAGGAGCAAAGGTATATGATAACATAATGTGTAATACAATGCCGAACACGTTATCACGTCTAGACCGTCATTCGAATCCAATATGGCGCTGTCACCACCTGACTTATAAATTAGTTAAAATTAGTTAATATAATTAAATTTGGGGGCTTCATGTTGAAACGAATTAACTTGCGAATAGGTTTATATTATCGCGTGATAACCTAAAGCAATGACGTCATAAAAACCTCTTATTCTGATATTGGTGATTTATAATACTATACAATGGGCAATGTGGTGCCCTTTATCCCCCAAAGCACAAATGATTTTGCAGTAAATCAATATTTCGATAATAAATTCAGGTTTTTGGCATAATACCACATAAAAAGGAGTTCACTAAATGGGCCTGTTGAATGACTACCGTCTGATTTATTCGGTAAGTGGGTGATAAAATTGGAGCCAACGCCCTCTTGTGCTTGTATTTGAAACTGTTTTATTCATTGTAATAGTTGACCATAAATTTATTGATGGCATTTTAGCTAAAAATGATTCCGAAATGATCAAAAGGGTCAAATGATTAAATATTGCCAATGTGAAGTTGAATCGACTTTTAGTACTTTCAACATATGTGATGATGTTGTGCACTTTTTGACTACTTAACTTTATGGTTTTTATTTTCAAGTTTTAGAATTGTTTGCTATGGGGTCCGATAAGAATTGGGGAACTTATTAACCACTTGCACTGTAGAACATATTAAGAAAGTCGTTAAAAGAATAAACAAATTAGTACCCAAACAAACTAGTATCCATTATTATGCCAGTATATCTAACAATGGATATACTGTTCAACAATATTCACTCTTACGTCAAATTACTTTATATGCATATTATAAGACATAAATATCGTAAATCCACCCAAAATACGGTGCCGATTTAATTTAATTTTTCAAACACTCAATTGAGTAGATGTTAACTATATATAAGGATATTGACTTGAAAAAGTTGGAGATTATCAGCGTGTGATAGTTGTATTTTAGTAAAAGGCAACCATCAGAGTTGTATAACATTTTCATCATTGTCTTCTATCATATAGGTGCTATGTCATATCTCAAATTGTAGGCTGACGTCACGATGTAAAAGGATCGTCTATCGTGACCTATTATTATCCTAAATTATTTCAAAATTCTGTATTTCAAAAAGTGACAGAATCTTTTTTTTAACATTGTGTTCTATGGAATTGTTCTGAACATTTTCGAATAACATTCCACAGATTTTCTCAAAATACAGCATTGTAATGTTGTTTTTTTGTTTTACCATGGAACAAGAGCATCCTAATTATACATGACCAACTTTCCCGAAAACTAAGTGTAGGCTTCTACCTTAAGAAGAACTTTTCAAAATATATGGGCTTTATATTAGAAAACGTGGAGCACGACTTGTTAACTGTGACGTTGGCAGAGACTGAAGCATCAAGAGCAAAATGTTCCCCGTGTCTCGCGTGTGTCGCAATACCTGACATACTCGTTCATTCGCTTTCGATATGGATTTTTTTTTTTTTTTTAATTAGGTCTATGATATAGAACACCACTTGGATCTGTTCCTCAATTTCAGCGATTTTTTTTTAAATTTTATATTGTTTATTTTAACCGAGCGTGTTTTTTTTTTGTTTAAAAAGTGGGTAACTGAATTGTTGAATTAATTTTAATTAACATACATCTTGATAATCGAATTAACGTCAAAATAAATGTTGTTTTGACTGAAAACATTACATTACGTTTTATCTGTATGTATTACATATACCATGGAGGCATGGGTATACCAAGAACGTATTTTAAATTAAGAAAACGAATACTGCATTTATGAACTATTTTAGAACATAGTTAATACTATGAGTTGGATAGTCAAGCTAACCTGGGGGGGGGGAATATGGGATAATTGAATTTAGGCTCAATCGAGCTCAATAGGTTCGGAAACGTTTGGATGCATACATCGTGCTAGGTCGGGATAATGCCTCGTTTAGTCGCGCTTAGATGAGGTAAGGGATGAACCTGGTGGTGGGGTACC